AGCCGGGCATGGTGGCACATGCCTGTAGTCCCAGCTACTCGGGAGGCTGAGGCAGAAGGATTGCTCGAGCCCAGGAGTTTGAGGTTGCTGTGAGCCAGGCTGACGCCACGGCACTCACTCTAGCCTGGGCAACAAAAGCAAGACTCTGTCTCAAAAAAAAAGAAAGAAAAAAATAGTATAGATTAATTTTCCTTGGTTTTGAGTTGTATATAAATGAACTACGTGTGTGTGTGTGTGTTAAGTGTGTGTATATATATATATATTTTTAGAGACAGTGTCTGTCACCCAGGCTGGAATGCAGTGGCATGGTCATAGCTCACTGTAACCTCCAACTCCTGGGTTCAAGCAATCTTCCCACCTCAGCCTCCCGGAGTCATTGGGACTACAGGAGCACACCACACCTGGCTAAATTTTTATTTTTTATTTTTTTGTAGAGACAAGACATTGCTATGTTGCCCAAACTCCTAGCCTCAAGTGATCCTCCCACCTCGGCTTCCCAAAGTGTTGGGATTATAGGCGTGAGCCACTGTGCCTGGCCTATAATATGTATTCTTATGTTTGATGCATGTACTCTTTTCACTCCACGTTATATTTGTGTGATTTACCCATGTTATTTTCTACAGCAAGCAGTAGTTCATGTCGCTGATGTATAATATTCCATTTTATAAACATACCACAATTCATCCATTCTAGGAACAGATTGTTTAGAGTTATTATTGAATAGTATTTCTTTTTTTTTTATTTATTTTATTTATTTTTTTTTTGAGACAGAGTTTGGCTCTGTTGCCCTGGCTAGAGTGCCGTGGCGTCAGCCTAGCTCACAGCAACCTCAAACTCCTGGGCTCAAGCGATCCTTCTGCCTCAGCCTCCCGAGTAGCTGGGACTACAGGCATGCGCCGCCATGCCCGGCTAATTTTTTCTGTATGTGTATTTCTAGTCGTCCAATAATTTCTTTCTATTTTTAGTAGAGATGGGGTCTCGCTCTTGCTCAGGTTGGTCTCAAACTCCTGACCTTGAGCGATCTACCCGCCTCGGCCTCCCAGAGTGCTAGAATTACAGGCGTGAGCCACCATGCCCGGCCTGAATAGTATTTCTATGAACATTCACGTACATGATTTTTGGTGAACACAGGTGCACATTTCTGATGGGTAAATACATAGGAGTAGAATGGCTGGGTCATAGGAAATGCTTAGTATATACTGCCAAACAGTTTTCTAATGTGGTGGTTTTCCAGTTTTCCCTACTACCAACAATAGTAAGGTTCTAATTACTTCACATCCTTGAAAACACATATATTGTTTTAATTTTAGGCTTTCTGATGGGTGTGTAATGGCATCTTATTATGGTTATAATTGAATTTTCCTGAAGATGAAAGAAATTCAGCATCTTTTCATATGTTTATTGGCCATTTGAATATCCAGACTTGCCCTTTTCTTTAAATTTGTAAAATTTTTGTTTTTTATATATTCTGGATTGTTTTCTTAGATATGTGTATTACAGATATCTCCTACTATGTGACTTTTAAGACAGAGTAAATTATGAAGTCAGTTTGTATATCTCATTTTTACAAAGAGAATGGATAAAATGTAAGTGAAATACTTTTTCAGACTTAAGTGAAACATATTTGACCTTTAATTTTTTTGTGGTGAAATTTGCTCTTTGGCTCCATTCCAAGAAATTAAAAGTATGTACTATTCATAATTTCTTTTAAAAAATTTTGTGACACAATTTCACACGTTTTGCAGATTTATTAGTAGAAAGAACTCCTTTATGTCCTTTATCCAGATTCTCTAATTGTTACCATATAGCTTCACTTTCTTTATTCTGTAGATTTGTTCTTTCTATATATATATATACCTATTACATTTCTTCTGAAATATTTGAGAGTAATTTGTACATACATGTGGCAATGATGCTTCATTTTAACAATGCTTATTATATTTGGGGTTAATTGAAGACTTAAGGTCTTTTAAACTTAAACCATACAAATCAGTAGGTTTGGATTTTTGACACTGTTTATTATAACAGATTGGATTTTTTTGAAGCAGAAATTTCGTTGTACTTAGAGCCATCTACATTTCCTACAAGTACTGAATTTTCAGTTGTTTTCACTAAATATTGTTAGTAAATCATAGGGCAAAGTGGGCCTTCTGTAACTTGATTGTTATACCAGCTGTAATAATATAATACTTGTAACTGTCATAGGTTAATAATGAAATTGAGGATTTTGAGGAACTTACATATGCCTGAAGGAAAAAATTTCATAAGTCACAAATTAAAATACTGTTTTGTTTTTATATTGCAGATTGGTTTTTCAGCAGCAGATGCAGTAACAGGACTGAAATTGGTAGAGGAGGGAGTACCCAAAGAACATTTAGCCTTATTGGCAGTTCCAATGGTTCCTTTGCAGATAATATTGCCTCTGATTATCAGCAAATACACTGCAGGTCCCCAGCCACTAAACATATTTTACAAAGCCATGCCCTACAGGTAAAAATGAAATAAAATCTTACTAAATGAGAAAGGTTAAAATGAGGAACATTCATCAATATCACTAATATCTGAGTGTAGAGTATATGTGAAAAAAGTCTTGAAAAGCATCTTTAATTTCAATATCATTTGTATGTACTTTTATCTCTTTTTAACCTCCTAATAGGCTTTAGATACAGGTTTCTTTCATATGGTAGGCACACAGATTTCTGTTTTTGTTGTTGCTTAACCTAAAAGGGAAGTCAACTCAATGCTCCTTTTTTTTCCTACAGGTTATTGCTTGGATTAGAATATGCCCTACTTGTTTGGTGGACTCCTAAAGTAGAACATCAAGGGGGATACCCTATATATTACTATATCTTAGTGCTGCTAAGTTATGCGTTACATCAGGTAAGCTTGCTGTGGTTTTCTCAGGAAGTAAACTATTTTGTGTGAAATAAAGAGGAAAATTTTCTATAGTTGTCTTAAAATAATGTTAATAAATTTTAGAATGTAAGCATGAGTCTGACACTGAAGAAATTATTTGATGGTGAACTTTAAACCTTATGGTTTTTGATTTAATGAGTTCTGTTCTTTTTCTCTGAAAAGGAGAGCTCCTTACTCATTTGTTCATTTTTTAAAATTTATTCAACAAGTATTTGTTACATTTCAGAATTGATTTCAAAGCCAGCTAATTCTACTCTTACTAAACATCCCTCAGTTTATTCCTAGATTTGGGTTTTTTGTTTCTTCAAGTCATAAATCTTTTCTTTCTGAAAGTACTGAGAAATAATGATGACTACTAGATTAGAGGTCCCAGGTTTCTGGCTTAACTTCTGTATTAAAATTATGATGTTCTCTGATTTTGAAAGCTGTGTGTTAAGCTGCTTTTTCTTTCTTTGTTAAATATGTTTATAATCTCTAGAAGAAGTAATTCCTTCTTTACTCTAGCCTCGCCTAAGCTGCTCTTGCAGAATGAGGTTTTTTGTTCTCAAAGCAAGTGATTCAAGTAAATGACAGAGACCCAGCAGTAACCTTTGGGACTCAACTATAATTAGTGCTAATGCATATTTCAGAGTCACTTTGGATTTTTCTGTCCAACATTCTCTAAACCCTTTGAAAGTTATATTTACTAACTTTTACTTAGTTTTTAACTGAAACCTGAAAATATGACTTCCTGGTAACCTCAGAGAATTCTATAGTGGATCATGTCTGACTAAACTGTATGTTTATAAAATCATTGAGGTCAGGCTATCAAATATTTTTTTTCTGTTTTGCACATGTTTGGTTAATACTAGGCACATAATTGAAGTTAAAAGAAGCGCTTTAGCTTAGTCAATACTTTACTGTCTGTCTGTATGATGTTATAGTCCAAAAATTACTTGTTTGGCTTTGGATTTTATTTGAGAATTTCCCAAAGTGTAATCAGCGAAACTCAGACAACCAGATGCTTGCTGGGAAAAAAAGGTACAAGGCTAAGTAAATTGAGAAAAGGATGCATGACATAACTCCTCTGTAAGTAGCACGTAATCGTTCCTTCAACAAATATTAAGTGAACACCTATTCCTTGCCAGAAACCATTCTGAGTACTGAAATATAACTGAATAAATCATGCCAAAATTCCTGCCCTCAAGGAGTTTATATCCTAAATATTTTCAGAAGGCCTGCAGTGAAAGGAACCTTTTAAATTTTGTATGACCTAACATCTCTCAGTCTTAATTGACTTCGGAACTCCTTTTTGTATGAACACCCCATGGAACAGTATTCAAAGGAATACTATTTTGGAAACATAGTTTGTATGCATTTTCCTAAATGGAGAGTTAATTTTTTGCCTCTTAAGCACTTCTGCCATTTTAGGAGGTTTTTCTCTTCAGTTTGTCACATAAATTTTGGAATGTTATTTTTCTTGTATATATATAGGAGAAAAATATAATTTTATATTTATATTTCTTTGAAAATTTTGAGTGTTTACATGTATAATAGGTATATCCATATAAATACATATGTGTACAATATATAATACGATGTTTTACATTTTCTCTCTAGGTTACGTTGTACAGCATGTATGTTTCTATAATGGCTTTCAATGCAAAAGTTAGTGATCCACTTATTGGAGGAACATACATGACCCTTTTAAATACTGTGTCCAACCTAGGGGGAAACTGGCCTTCTACAGTAGCTCTTTGGCTGGTGGATCCCCTTACAGTGAAAGAGTGTGTAGGAGCATCAAACCAGAATTGTCAAACACCTGATTCTGTTGAGGTAAGTATGTTTTCATTTTAGATAACATTATGTTAATAGTAAGATATTAGAGCCAGGCTTGATGGCTCACGCCTGTAATCCCAGCTATTTGGGAGGCTGAGGCAAGAGGATCGCTTGAGCCCAGGGGTTCAAGGCTGCAGTGAGCTATTATTGTGCCACTGCACTTTAGTTTGGGTGACAGAGGGAGACCTTGTCTTTTAAAATAAAAACAAAAAACAGAAAGGGTATTAACTTCCTTATTTTGCCTCTAGAAGTACTATAGCTTTTCTTAAAATCATAACTGTCCATAGTTTCTAGTGTATAAATTTACTTAGATTTTTTCTTTCCCATCATAACTGGAGGTGATAACACATTCAGATCAGCAAGACTAGCTCACTTTAAAGGTGCTTCTCAGCAATGGAGAGGCAATCTCTCCCCCACCTTGAGGAATCACTGTCCTACACAGTAGGCACTGTATAAATGCATAACTAATAGCTAAGTTTTATAATGTTGGAAAAGGGGAACTTCCATTGGCTATTCATATAACAATTGTAACTAAAACCAAATGGTGAATGGTTTGTCGATACATTATTTCAAAGTAACATTGTCCTCTTCTAGAGTACATTCATTAGAAATTTCTTCACATTTTCAAATATGAAGAGCTGCATCTTGTTTACAGCAAGAGCTAAAAATTATTTTTAATCCTGTTAGTGGCATTAGAGAGATTAACATATATTAACATATTTTGCCATTTGAATTAAGTGAAATATTGAAATGTTTTAAGAGAAATATATTTTGATTAATCCTTTAAATTATAAAATAGAAACATGGTAATTGCTGGATACTTCCATTTTGAAATTGTAGAATATTTATTATAATTTTTTTTTTTACAGCTTTGCAAAAAACTTGGTGGCTCATGTGTTACGGCACTGGATGGTTATTATGTGGAGTCAATTATTTGTGTTTTTATTGGATTTGGTTGGTGGTTCTTTCTTGGTCCAAAATTTAAAAAGTTACAGGATGAAGAACCATCTTCATGGAAGTGCAAAAGGAGCAATTAATTCATATACTACTGGACATTCTAGAAAGGTAATTGTAGTTTAGTTTTAATTCAGAGAGCTATGATAATCAGTGCACAGGAGTATAAAATATTATTTTAAGCAAGGAAATTATTAATATGAAATGCCAAATGGTTGAAAGATAGAGACCTTTTTGTATATTTGATCTTATTTTTCCTTGCCTTGTCGATGTATATAAAGTTTACTTAAGTCGGGAAATTGGTTCTAAAACAACTTTTTTGGCTTTGTTATTTGATTTGTATCTTTTTATTTTATTGGTTCTAAAACAACTTTTTTGGCCTTGTTATTTGATTTATATCTTTTTAATTTACTGACCAAAGCATGTTTTAAGCTGCAATGCAGTAGTCGTGGGTGGTAACCATGCCCATAAGTATTGTTACCACTACCTATTATTGAGCTATGTTTAAATTTTGGGTACAATATATTAAATGGAAAAGAGCTTGATATTCAGGTACTAACTATAACTAGTCTGACCTTGTTGGCAGTTAAAATCTTATTTTGAATTGTAAATTGGTTAAATTTTATGCAGAATTTGCTGAGAAGAGAACGTAGACTACTGAAATGTCATTTTAGTTGTTATTTTTCTGATCATAACCACATTGTACAAATGAATCTGTGTTTAAAAGACTATTTTAAATGTATTTCCTGCTTTTGTAAGCATTAGAGATTTATAAGAAGATTATTCAACTTATTTTTTATAAAATGAAAGCTATGGTTTTTTTAATTTATTGATTCCCCCTGCCCCCACCCCCTCTTTTTGGAAGATATTTTGATTCCTTGTTAACTTTTACCCTAAAGTTTATGTATGTTTTTTGTCACAAGTGCTTCATGGCACACAGACAGCTAATAAGGGGATCAAATTTAGTGTTATATGTATGTTCACAGCAAAGTTTTAAAAATAAAAATTAAATGTTATTCTTCAAGTAGTTTTTTTTAATTAACAAGAGAAAAAAGCAGTAAAGCTTTCGATTAAGTAAAATTTCAATGAATAATTCCATGATTTTAAAAGCTAATATTTTAAAGAGAGAGAGAGACAAAGACATTTTGTGCCTTTGACAAATAAATTATGTGGTGGAAGAATATTCTTAATTAAGCACTTTACTAGTGAAAAAGAGCTCACAGTTACTTTATTCCAAATCAGGCACTGTATTTTCATTTATTAAAACACAATCTTGGGCCAGGCGCGGTGGCTCACGCCTGTAATCCTGGGAGCTCTCTGGGAGGCCGAGGCGGACGGATTGTTTGAGCTCAGGAGTTCGAAACCAGCCTGAGCAAGAGCGAGACCCCGTCTCTACTAAAAAAAAAAAACAGAAAGAAATTAATCG